CGTAACCGACGCAGTCTCTCGTTCCCCTTCTCGGGGAACCAGGGTTACATACGTTACGTATGTAACCCTGGTTCCCCGAGACGTTCTCTGGAATTATATTTTCCCCTCCCTCATGTCGCGTGAAAAATATCAGTGGTTCTTGCTCTACTACAGGTATGGTCATGGTAGGTTGGGGCCCTAAAGCAGTGACCTCAATATCATCCAGAACAACCACAACAAATGTGTGCAAAATGTGTGTAAAATGTATACTTTTTACAGCTAAAACTCATCTATCGTTGCAAAAATTACATGTTTGTGTTACATATACAATCGCCTTAATAATTTGTACTTTAATAATTTGCCTTGAATTTGTCTCTACCGCAACACAAGGTCTTTACCGCGACACCTAAAGCTGCTGCGGTAAAGACATATTGCGGTAATGATATTTTTGCTAATATTGCAAATAAATGGCAGTTAGCAATGTCTGCTTCATTAGCTTTGACTCTAATGATCTGATATACATGAATTCAACAGTAATATTAATTAATTTTTTTAATGTAGTTCAAAATACATAATTAATAAGCTGTATGGTAAGGACACACAATAAATACTTCAGAAGAGAAGATTATCTTTACATTGTTTTTCTTGATCTTGAGGGTCACCTAGTGTGGGTGGCCCCACCTGCCATCCATGTGCTCACTTACTAACTTCCCAAGAAACTAGATTTGTTTTGCTTTGAAAAAACCTTTACTATGGCATTCGTTTAGTGTTGCGGTAAGGACTCAGAAGTGTGGGACAGTTGATTTTACATTAAAAAAGGATATAAATCATCAGTAAACAAAAAAAAGATTGTCAACTTGTTGTAAATGAACATTTATATCTAACAATTTCATTTGAAATAATGTCATATTTTAATTGAATTACCTTGTTCTGCGTATCCCAACATTGAGACCACAGTTGTGGGACATGAAGAAAAGGTGTTTGGACCCATAAAATGCTTCATAAATGTTATTAAATCACATTATTTTGTGATTATGTTTTATGTCAAGATGTGTAAAAACAATATGCATATATTTATCAAGCATCATATGACAAATTATAACATAAATCCAAAATGTCACTGCTGGGACTTGCCCGTAGTCGCAGAAACACCCATAAATATATATAAATAATAGAGTCCGTCAGTTTGGTGCTGTGGTGTTGTGGAGCCTGGTGGCTGATGGCACAAATGAGCCTCCAAAGCGCTTTGAGGCTGGGGGCCGGATGAGTCTGCGGCTAAAGGTGCTGAAGCTTCTTGTGTGTTGTCGACTTAATATGGTCATCAGAACCAATTTCTATGATGCTCCGCACCTCTTCACGACCCCAAGTTTGTCCGTGAGTTACCATGGGGCTATGTTGCTCAAGTGCATAAATCGTCAACAAGCACTCATCCCGTAATGCACAGCGCAGCTGACTACGGCAGCTGGTTTAGTCCAAGCATGCGTAGTTCTTCCAGCAGTTGTGTCTGTTCGAGGTCAGATCAGGTTCTTACCACAAACAAACCTCTCCAGAGTTCGTGTGAAAGTGTACAGAGGCCGTAGACCAGGGGAACCACCGACCTTCCGGTTAGTGGACGACCACTCTACCCCCTCAGCCACAGCTCTATGTGTCTGTCTGCGGCTGAGCAGGTCGTGTACTGTGGCTCCATCAGAGCTTTGCTGCTGCTGAACCAAACCAATGAGCTGAAAGTCACTACAGCTGAGGGGAACAGAGTTGGGAGATAACTGGCTGTGGGTTGGTCACTACGAGTGACCTCTTTCACATTACACACAGTCATTTGGTCCATTATTAATCTAGAAATATTGATAATATTTTAATATAAATTGTGAACCAGACCCCTGACTCTGTAATGTGAAATGGGGCATGCATTGTGCCTAAATCACAAAGAATTATTACCTGGCTCTGCTGAGCTTTTTAGCTTCCTCTGGTGCATTGTCTTGGTTTTACAGCCCATTTATGGTATCGCTGAGTCTGAAATGCACTCATCAATCCCCCACAGGCATCCGTTTCCAGTAAAAAAGCTCTGCACAAGTACCAAACACTTACTACACTCAGCTGATGTTAGAGATAACATGCCCACGTGGTGCTGCTGCCTCCTGACTTGCGATTACACTTACATGTGTAGCAAAGGAAGCGCTTTCACTGTCATCGTGGACGTGTGTAGAGACTGGAAAACGGAGGGAACAAAATCATCAGGCAGTCGTGTGTCTCTTCACACATGGATTTTATCCTCAGTTATGCAAAACATGACATTAGCTGCCCTTTCACAGCTGCAGCCGAATCAGTATGCAGCAGCTGAGCTCTTGGCAGGCACAATCAAGAGGCTCCATCTCACTGCTCTCCTGGTGTCCCTACATGGCTCCCGGCCAGCCTCCAGAAATGATTTCAAAATCACTTTGCAAAGCTCTGTGTTGCCTTGCACGTTGCACAGCAGGTCTCGCATCTGCTGTGGTCCTTTAGCAGCAGCTATTAGATGCCCACGTTCTCTTCCAGATTCCAGTTAAAAGGCGGCCTGCATGCCTTTTCTGTTGCAGAAGACGGAATCCAATGCCAAAAATCACTGTAGAACTAAATTATTAACTGCCTATAATGTAATAAAACTGGAAATGTAATAGCATGCCCATAATGGAATAAAATGTTGAGCACATAAAGCTTAACTTTTTGCGTGTAATGTAATAAGTATTATCCTCACTGTGTGGATCCTCCCATAAGCCCTTTTGGTGTTGGGAACATCTCGTTGCCAACTCATCTAGACTTATTCAACTTCCTGGTGCAGCTCTCAGTGCAACCAGCAGTTAAAATTATGTTAATGTGTTTACTTTAATAAAGTTAAAGTTCTTATGTAGAGATAACTCATTACTAAAGATCTACTGCCAGGACTGTGGTAGCAGGCAGCTGAACTAACGGACACATCTAACACTACCTCACCAATACCACACCAATTTATGTTAATGCGTCACATTTTATAAATAAATAATAAATAATAAAACAGCCTAATAACAACAACAAAATGTAATCAGTTAGCATATGAAATGCAAAACAGTTATTACATTATGTTGCCAACATTTTTATTACATTTTAGACAGGTTATAACATTCCTACAGCGACCCAAATACCCAGTGTTACTCCGGGGCCTCCTCAGTGTGTGTGCTGCTGTGTTTTACCTGGTGTAGGCGATTCAGTTATCTCTTCCTTTAGAGTGCTTTATAACAAAGGGTTTACACTTCACAGCTTTACAGTGCATGGAAACTCTCTGCAGTGATGCGTAGCTCACATAATCATGCAGTCACAATAAAAACTGGGTCGTGGTTCAAATCACTTCAACTTAAGGTTGCCAAGCTCTCGTCATAAGAAAACAATGGCTGTTGATCAAGTGTACTGGCCTGAAAGGGTCGGTTCATGCATATAACAAAGTACTCAGCGCTACTATTGTCTAGCCGTACAGATAGTTATGGTTTTATTTGCTCAGGTTTTGATATCTGCCTCGGCCAACACAATGGAGACCAATGGAATTTCCTTTGTCCCTTTGGCCTTGAAATGTTTACACATTTACAAAGAATTTCAGCGACAACGTCTCTTTCCACAAATTGGAACAGTGACATTTCAGAGTGAAATCAACCTGTAATCTCCAGATCCACTCACATGGCCAAAGTAAATACATTTGGTGAACTCTCACAAACAATGCTAGCATCTTGTCTGGCCTGACTTTAAAGGGACGCGGAGCAGGGTAGTCCAATACAGAGGAAGCCGTCATATAATAGCTTATTAGCTGTGTTGCATCTTTTCATATACCTCTGCTATACTTTATCCATATGATTTTTCACTTCTGTTACTGTACTGGGTGGAGGCAGAAATCTGAGACAGAATTATCCAAAGCATAATAGCACTCCTCAAACCGGTCACAGTTCAAATCATTTCAACCTGAGGCTGCCAGGGAAACACTGGTGTGCTAATGGCTGTTCACAGGCCTTAATGTTGTTGCCTGCTTTCTGCAGGATCGCTCTGTCTTATTTATTATGGCCATTCTGCTCATTTTCCAGCTGCTAGCCTACCACAGAGCACTCTGAGGACTCAATAAAATACAGTGACACCAGCCTGCCCTCATCTTTATGGCCTCAAAACAAACTCTAAATAAACTCCCGACTCCACAGCACCACTTAACCCCAGCGCTGCTGGACACATTCAGACATGTTCACACAGTTACGAGCGCACACCACAGATGGGGACTCGAGTTTGAGACTCGGACTCCAGTCCAACTCAAGTCACACACACAGTGACTTCAGACTCGACTTGAGACTCCTCCTCAAAAGACGTCAGACTCGACTCGGACTCGAGGTGCGGGACTCGTGAACAATGTTTATTTTTAGGAAACGTCTGATGAGCTTGCCGTTATTCCCTCCCTCTGTGACCTATAACCTGCCTACATAACACGTAGCATCTGCTGCGCACGGTTAAAAACAGGTTACAGCTTTATTGATTTGAGAGTCAGGAGGATGTGTTGATGTCATTAACTGCATTGCACAGGTTGTGCTCTGTAAGTTAAAAACAGGTTACTGCTTTATTGTTGACCATGTAACTTTACGGTAACGTTACAGGGTTTGTTGACTTACAGTATTTAATAAGCTGTCAATAGTTGCATTGCACATTACATGGTTGTGCTCCGTAAATGAAAAGCAGGTTACAGTTACAGAATTCCTTATAGCCATGCAGTTTTATTAGCAACCTGGATTGAACGCAAGCTCATGAGCATTCATGCAAATACACACTCTTGAAATGGTGTGTGCTTTAGCAGCCTAGTGTTGTCATGGCAACCCCCTGGGAGTCTATCACAAGACACACTGTAGTCAACGCTGTCAGTACATGGTCTAGACTCCATAGAGGGTTGCTTCAGACTTTCATATGTGCTCTACACTTATAAGTGTAAATCATTAAAGAAAATACAGCGCTGTTCGTTACATAATTCTTTCCCTCTGTCTCTCCAGGGAAACCAGATCCTGAGCGGCCTCTCCCTAGACGAGTACAAGGCCACTCTGAAGATGATCGAGAGGGCTATTCTGGCCACTGACCTGGCCCTGTATATGAAGTAGGTACCAAATGTCAAGCCCAGATGGAAATCTGATGTGAGAGGGTTGGAGGGGGGAGGGGCAGAAGACAGAATGAGAAAAGGCAATTTGGGCAGAGGGAAGGTTTAGAAGTATTTTGCCTGGGGGTGATTACATTCACTCAAGACTTCACAAAACTGGTCCAATCTCACTTTTTTCATCTCAACAACAGCAAAGATTACGCCCATAATTACATTCCTGGACACTGATAAAGTCTTAATTACACTTAGATTACAAGAAAGCTGTTCTTCTTACTTGTAAAATTTAGTATTTACATTCTTTTAATGGGGACTTTAAAGCTACTGATTGAACTGCAACTCTGTGTTGCATGTTGTAGCGTTAACAGAGTATGCTCACTGCCCAGTGCAGTATGATGCAGGCACTCTTGGAAAATAATCTTTTATGGAAGATACAAAGTCACATAATGGAGGGTGGGTCAAGTCATTTAAAAATGTATTAGCCAAACATTTGAGTATAATCTAACAAGCTCAAAGCTGTTTCTCCTGCTGATATTGAATTCTTTGTTTATGCCAAACTTTTAAAGTGTATTAACTTGCTTTTTTGGCCACTAGGGGGCAGCATAACAGGCTGTAAACACAACATTGACATATTATCATCATTTAGTCATATTATTGAGTTGTATTTGTGAACATGTTAGCTAACAGTTGCCTATTTACACATCCAGCAGACAAAGAGCAACATTAGCATCCATTTGAAGCCATGTTAGTGTCCAACTGATGAATGTTATAAAATATAATTCAATCTCCTTTTAGCTCTGGTTTGGTCTACACCAGCTCCTGAGAAAAATATCTGGCTCTTTAAATGCTCCACTATGTTCTACACTAGGTAGGGTACAGCAGGTTTATCAGAGTATTATTTGTGAAAACAGCTGCCTGTTGAAAAGAAGGCTTATGAGAGCGGCTTAGAAGCATCTTAGCAGCTCAATAGAGCTGCAGCGATTCTTGTTAATTCTCTGTAGGTTTGTGACAATGGGTAACCTTTTTAAATAACTTTTTTTTTTTTACATTTGATTGACTTTTCATAAAGAAATATTGATTAGAGCAGCTTCAAGGTGTCAAAGGTCATCTGAATGAGCCTTTTAGCCTTCCCTACAACAAAATTCAGAAGTGCAAAAATGATTTTAATCCTACATCTACAATCTACCTAAAAAATGATTGCAAGGTATATTTACTTACTGTTATTTTGTTGTTTATATTTTGTACAGTTGTATGCATTGGATTGTTTTGAAAAAAAGTCAGTTGAATAGCATGGAAATGTCATTACATTTTGGTGGATTTTGGTGAAAAAATGTTTGTGGAATATAGTAGATCTCTACTCTTCCTTCCTTCTTGCATTTTACTTCCTTTTTTCATTCTTTCAATCCTTTTTTTTACTTTGTTTCATTAATCTACCTCAGTGATTTCACATCTTATCTCATCCCTCTTTCAGTCTAGACAGTGGGTGGCAGAGGAGGTGTGTACTGTAAGTTATATATGAGGATAATTAACTGCTATGTCATTGAACCTGTGTGTGTGTGTGTTGTCAGGAGGCGTGGGGAGTTCTTTGAGCTCACCAAGAACAGTCAGTTTGTCTGGGAGAACGAACATCACAGAGACTTACTGAGGTAACAACCCTCCAAAACTCAAACACACTTAGTGGATGATATACAGTGCAAGTACATAAATGATGGGACAAATACTTGTGCAGGAATAGTTTAACATTTGTGGAAATATGCTCATTAGCTTTCTTTCCAAGAGTGAGATGAAGAGCCTGTGTGTTCATTTCAGAGCTGGAGTCAGAACGTGGTTAGCCTAGCTTAGCATAAACACAAATGTAAAAACGGCAATTTGTGGTTTCAGGAGGAGTTGGAACTATTTCTTGACAAACAGCAGTTTATCTATCTGTCCAGTACTTAGTGCTGCAAACTCTCGTGCATTGACACTTTTCACAGGCTCTCACGCCGCACGTCCATTTTCTCATGCAGTGGAAAAACTGGTAAAAGCACAGCGTGAATCGACTCCACCCAGTTGATGCAACACCTGCGTACGCAGGGATAGTAATCAAGTTGCCAAATACAGCAAGTTTGATGTAACTGATGTCTTTCACCAAGGTAAAATGTAAAGTATGGATACATGAAGGGGACAAGGACTATGTTCCTATTACATTTAAGACAAGAATATGGCCCTGCTATAAAAAGTGCAATGAGATAACTTTGTGAATTGCTGCTATTAAATAAAACTGAATTGAATTTTGATCTTATTCACAGTGTGTTGCGTTTAAGTAGGCTAGCTGAAAATATGATAAAAGCATGTAAAAATGTAGAAATGCAGTGTTATTGAAATACTTTATTTGGGTGGGTTTTTGTCTGTAGTTTGGCAAGTGTGCTGATCAGCCATTCTTATTCATCATTGTCCCTGATTATTTACTTGGCTTTTATCAATACGTGCTTTAAAAATGTGACTTTATCTGCTGAATTTTTTAATAAAATTCCGTAGGGTTGAGGAGTGATGACCGACCACTATGGTGATAATGTCACATACACACACACCGGGCGGCTGTGGCTCAAGAGATAGAGCGGGTTGCCCATTAATCGGAAGGTCGGCACGGCTCCTCCAGGCTGCATGTCGAAGTGTCCTTGCGCAAGATACTGAACCCGGAATTGCCCCTGGTGGCTGTTCCACCAGTGTATGAATATGTGTGAATGTTAGTTTCTGTTTGAGCACTTAGGCTCAGTGTATGAATGTGTGTGAATGTGTGTGAAAGGTGAATGCGATGTAGTGTAAAAGTGCTTTGAGTGGTTGAAAAGACTAGAAAGGCATTACAAATACAGAGCGTTTACATACACAAAAATTGCACCAACATCACCAGTCTCACTCCACAGAGCAAGGTTGCATGCTTCACAAAAGTAACCATAAAATAATACAACCATAAGTTTCTTCAGCTGCTCTTTGAAGGCGCAGATCGTAAATCTAAAGGAAGAGTGAGCCACAGTGTGGGAGCCACCACTTCAAAGGCACGGTCACCATTGGGTTTCAGTGGCATGAGAAACGCCCAGTAAGTCCTAGTCTGAAGACCTATGTGACCTACTGGTGAAATAAGGGTGGAGAAGGTTAGAGATGTACGCAGGAGTCTCCAGCTAACTTGTCGGTTTTGGTCTCTGCAAAGGCAACAGTGGTACCAAACCTGGCATGACAACAGCACCTTGGGAAGCTGCACCTGGCTATTGTTTGCTGAGAAGTACTTAAAAGATGTTTTTAAGTTGAAGTTTGTCAGATAATAGTAAAGCAATATTTAAAGCAACATTTAATTTTGTGTGAAACAGCTCAATGAACTACAAATCTGGTCTCGCAAAATATACGTCACCAACATGTTAACGCTGTAATGCTAGCTACCGTTCAATGCTTGCTTGCCACTAGCTAGGAAACTTAGCTGTGTTCCACACACAAATGTGTCTCACCTGATGTGTTTAATCCATCGACTTCTGGTCCTACAGACTTCTGATCTACACATATGAGCTCTTTCAGTAACGTTAGCTTCAGTCATTGAGAGAACAAGTTATGACGTCACATATGCGACTTTTGGGTTTGTTGTCTTTGTAAATACATATTTTCACAGTCTTGAACTTCAACAGTTATATGACACACTTTGACTTTCTTGACTTTTATTATCTTAAATTATCTTTTAAAACTGAAAAAACACCATATGGGTAAATCAGGGCACAATTCAAATTGTATCAAAAAATTTGTTGTCTCTTGTTGTCTCTCGCTTTTGACTACCGGACATTTTCTTTCCGAAATAAGGTCCCATGTTTGTACACCAGAAGGGGAGGCTCTCTATACTGCCCTTCCCCTTGTTTCCAGTCTTCATGCTAAGCTAGGCTAATCACATCCTGACTCGAGCTCTGTACTTAACACACAAGCATGAGATCTCATTCTCAGAAAGAAAGCAAATAAGCATATTTCCCAAAATGATAAACTATTCCTTTAAGAGGGACAGAGCAGGACTTTGGTGTACTGTATATCTGTGTGCTATGAAATTACTGTTATTAGTTATTTTGTACAAATCATCTGTTCTTTACTAAGCAGTAAATCATGCATAAAGCAAAGTATTATTGATAGAAACATGAATTTTCAAGGGTTGTGCATTAGCTCAAATTTTCACACAGAAATCTAGTTTGATGTCAAAATTAAAACAAAGATTTCTGAAATGCAGTTAGCGATTTTTAACACACAAAATATGCTCATGTTTGACTTCCAGTGCCATAAATTCACTCCCAGTGGTTGGATGTGGCTTTGTGCTATGAGCTTTTGAAAGTTATCTGGAGGGTGTGGCTCTGTGAAGAACAATGTGTATCAATGTATCTCCCCCTTCAGGTCAATGCTGATGACTGCATGCGACATCTCAGCCATCACCAAGCCTTGGCCAGTGCAAAAAAGGGTAAAATGAATCCCATACATCCGTCTTATTCACCCATTTGTGTTGGTTGTACTGCAGTGCTGTTGGCCTTCTCCCGTACACAGTTTCCTTTCTCCTCCCTTACGTCTGTTTTTTTTGTAGTTATTTTCTGTAGAACATGTGACTTGTTTTTCTCTTCAAATTCAAAGCATTAAAACAGTTGCAACACAGCAACACATTAAAACAGCTGCTTTTGTGGTTTCCACCAACTCTGAAAGAAGTGTCTGACTCCTTTGCCAGGGGCCGGTGTTACGTTGCAGCATGCCAGTGAAATGCCAACATGGAAGAAAAAGGCTTATTAGCTTTAAGAGAAACCACCAGAAACATCTGTTAATGCACAGTAAAGTGTTTCCCACAGAATTACCATGGACTTTGGCGCCACACGCGGGTGGGGGGCAATCGATATTGAACAGCAGCTATGTATTGGGTGCTAACCTCGACAACCCAACTGTATTCTAACGTTAACACAGAGGTACTTATTAGCTAGGCTCCTTACATGCCTGCATGTAACTTATTTGAAGGTGGGTCTCTGACACTGACAGCGTTGTGTTTAGAAAATACACTGAACATAATTATAAATGCAACACTTTTGTTTTTGCCCCCATTCATCATGAGCTGAACTCAAAGATCTAAGACTTTCTGTATGAACACAAAAGGCCTATTTCTCTCAAATATTGTTCACAAATCTGTGTTAGTGAGCACTTCTCCTTTGCCAAGATAATCCATCTAACTTCTCAGAGTTAACTTCAGTGCTTTAGTTTTTCTATAAACACACGGCTCCGTTTCCATTTGTGAGAGAGGGAGGGAGCGAGCAAGCAGAGGTGCTGAGCAAATCTATGCGCTGTGAAATATGGTTTTACTCCTATTTAATAGTATACGTGGCGGTCAGTGTTGATATTGAGCCGTGTCGTGCGGCCTCAAATAAATCAGTGAATGGAAAACACTGCAGTGGGGTGCAGATTCTAGAAACTTTTATGTCATATTAGTTCTGATTGTGAGTTAGTTAAAATCACCTTAATGTTGACGCATGAAAAAAAACAACATTCCTTCAATTATCGATAAGCAAGCCAATTGCCAGTCAGAACAAGCCTAGGTGATTAGTAATTTTATGTGAGTTCATCACTACAAGCAACAACTTTTATATTGCACTTAGTCATTTGATTCTTTGTTACTGTTAAAAATATTATAGTGCAGATTTAAATTTAAACAGCTGTCCTTCAAAAGCTAATTCTCTATTGAATGGCAGAGGATAGAAAACTGCTGATCTGCCCTATGTTGGCTGTAACGTTCTAGCACTTCAGGCCACACCCTAATCACTGATGTCACAGCAGGGGTTTCTTATTTATTAAGCAAAAATTACAATAATAGTCAGATACATACAAACACACAATACAATGTCAGAGAGCTAAACACATATAATAGTAAACAACCGTTGAAAGAGTAAATCTAAGCAGCTTAGAAGCAGGTAAAGCGGGCGACCCAGCTGGGTTTAAGAGGTTTTATACATCCAAAGAGTTTATATAAAAACCAGACCAGGCTTCTAACGGAGACCTGTGTTTTTTTGTCAAAATGTGTTCCCGCACCAGGCAAGTAAACGGGGTAGGCGGCTATTTGGGACTCGGCTATTAATTGCAGTTTTACCGTACATAAATGTAGAGAAGTAAATTAATGAGGGAGACAAAAGGGGTAAATTCATTATACAACAACTATACGTAGAGGATTAAATACTGGTGATATGGTGTCAAGGAAGCTCATCAAATACACTGTTGTAACAGTCTACATAAATGTTGCTTTTTATTATTTATCAGGGAAAAGGATTTGAGAAGTGACTTAAATTCCACTAAAGAATGATGTTTGAGAACCTAAGAAACTAAACCACATAAATAAGAGACTTTTCCTTACTACTGTCATAGGAACACACTACATCATTAAGAGAAAAGTTATCATTGGGGGATGGAAAATAAAACAATTTAAATCAGACCAAAATTTCTTTATAGGTTCACATTGAAAGTAAAGATAGATAAATGTTTCATCAGCGCGTCCATAAAAGGAGCTGTGTTTCTCATTAGTTTCCAGAGGTAAAATACCAACTGTGACATCGCTGTTTGGGGTATGGCCTGGATTGATGCTTAAAGGTATCTACCTGTAAAGAGCAGTGCAGCACTTGTCTTTGTCTCTCTTTGATTCTGCAACTTCTCTTTACTTCTGAACAGCCACTCTCTTTCTTTCCGTCTCACTAGCACACATACAGTATATTTGTTTCAAGGTTCTCCTTACCCATCTCAGAGCTGTGTCCCCGTTCTTTCATCTCCCCGCTGACCTTCATTAGTTTGCACCTCGTTAGGAACCACAGGCGCAGTGGAGAGAGGTTCAGACAGGCGCACGCTCTATGTAATTGTGTGTATGTGTGTGTTGACAAGTGAGCGCTCATTAATAAAAACAGCTGTGCCCCTGTCCTCAGATGACACCTCCAAAAACCTTCAGGGCACACATATGCAAATATGCTCTCTCGCTTAAATACACGCACACAAGCACCTCATTCGGATCTCATTATCAAACTGTGCCTCTCATCTGTCAGAACCAAAGGGAAGATCATTTCCTCTGCAAAGATGACGAGGGGTTTGCATAATATTTTAACTTTGGCTTTAGTTTAATATTGGGAGTTTTACTTTTCAGACTATTTTAACCTTAAGTTTCAGAATCCTGTAACTCAGCCATAATCAGTTTGAGAATTCGAACTATTTAAAAAAAGGTTTAGTCCATTGGATACCTTACCCAGGAAGTGACGGAAGGGCTGCTACCAAAGAGAAGTCTCTGGTACATACATCGATCAGCCTAACATTAGAACCGCCTGCCTAATATTGATTAGGTCCCCCACTTGAAGCCAAAACAGTCCCATCAAGGCAAGGACTCCACTAGACCTCTGAAGGTGTGCTGTGGTGTCTGGCACCAAGACGTTAGTAGCAGATCCTTTAAGTCCTGTAAGTTGCGAGGTGGGGCTTCCATGGATCAGACTTGTTTGTCAGGTACATCCGACAGATGCTGTATTGGTTTGAGATCTGGCTAATTTGGAGGCCAAGTCAACACCTTGAACTCTTTGTTCTGTTCCTCAAACCATTCCTGCTGACAGAGCACATTATCCTGCCGAAAGAGGCCACTGCAGGATGTCAAAGTGACATCCACGTGAATGGCAGGACCCAAGGTTTTCACCGGAAAAACATTGGCTTGCCTTCTTCCCACAGTGCATCCTGGTGCCATGTGTTCCACAGAAGAAAAGTAAATGAAAACGTGATTCACCAGACCTGGTCACCTTCGTACAGTACTCTGCGGTCCAGTTCTGATGCTTACATGCCTGTTGTAGGTGCTTTCAGCTGTGGACAGGGGTCAGCGTGGACACCTTGACTGGTCTGTGGCTACGCAGCCCCATACGCAACAAACTGCAATGTTCTGACACCTTTCTATCAGAACCAGCAGGAACCTTTCCAGCAGTTTCAGCTACAGTAGCTCGTCTGATGGATCAGGCAACACGTACCAGCCTTCGCTCCCCACATGCATCAATGAGCCTTGGCCATTCGTGACCCTTTCGCTGGTTCACCGCTTTTCCTTCCTTGGATCACTTTTGGTACTGACCACAGCAGACCGGGAACACCCCACAAGAGCTGCAGTTTTGGAGATGCTCTGACCCAGTCGTCCAGCCATTACAATTTTGTCCTTGTCAAAGCTGCTCAAATCCTTACGATGCCCATTTTTCCTGCTTCTGACGCATCACCTTTGAGGACAAAATGTTCACTTGCTGTCTAATACATCCCGCCCACTGACAGTTGCCATGGTAACGAGATAAACAGTGTTATTCACTTCACCTGTCAGTGGTCATTATGTTATGGCTGATCAGTGTAGTTCAGTCCAGTGTGCATGCTTTAACTGCTAGATAGTCTTCACTTCACCAGCTAGTCTCTAACTGTGTCTGTCTGCTGTTTGGAGCTGGGCAGGTAGTGTACAGTGAGCTTTTTCACTGAAAACAGCTGCCTGCAGTACCACAGCTGGACTTTACGTGCATGAGAGTGGCAAGACTGAACTGAAACATACTGCGGGCTGTAACACCAAGACAATAAGATTAATGAGGCTAAGAGGCTCGGCAGAGCTGAGTGGAACTGCAGGGTTGGTTTGAATTCTCTGTGGGTTTGTCACTGTGACAACTTTCAGATTAGACATAGTTTGTTGATCCATTATTAAAAAGCAACATATTGCTTAATGCAGCTTTAAACAACAGTAAATGATTGCCAGAAAAAAAGGACAGGGTGGATTTTGTCTTTATTTGATAGCTGACAGAGTAGACAGGAAATGTTGGGAGACAGTGCGGGGTATGACACAAACAAAGCAACCTGTCCAGAAGATGGCTATGTCTCCCTGTACCAAGTCTAGCCTTGTTACAATTGAACAATGCATATACTGTAAGGCATGATTTTCTGCTTCAGCTCCTTGTTCGTGATGTCAGCAGCCTACAGGTGCTTCCTTTCTCGGTAGCAACTAGAATATTTGACTCAGTCTTGAGTTAAGATGACTTGGTCTTGGACGAGTTCAAGTTCGAGAAGACCTGAGCTTAGAACATTTCTTAACATATCTTCACAGCCTTCACAGACACAAGTAACTTCATCCATGGAATGATTCATTCTCTTAGTTTGAAGCTTTTCAGAAGTCAGTCAAATGTATTCTGTTTCATATGATATGATCACCTTCTGTTTTAGACAGTATAGACTTTATATTTATTATATATATATATATATATATAGGTATATATATATATATATATATATATATATATATATATATATATATATTTTAGTTTCCAAGCTCAGCTCACAATCCCAGCAGATCAGCTGATTCTGATCTTAGCATTCATTGGCAAATTCCGTACAAAGCATTTTATTTAAGCTGCTATAGCCTGCCTGCCCTTGCAGAGGTGCAAGCAGCTCATAACCCGCAACCACTCCAGCTCTGCCTTACAGGCCATATCTGATTAATCATGTAATATAGTATTAATGCCTGCTCTGTTCTGTATTGGGGGTCTTTACTGTTGCTCTCTGCCTGGGGCTTTCGTCATGGCTTTTCCACATAGGCACGTTTTATGGGCAGAGGTGTGCTCTAAGGAAGTTTCCAGAACAGAGACAACCCACCAAACATGACTACAGAGGTACAATATCAGTTTCTTTGGTGAAAGTTGTCCTGATTGAACTACAAATATAAGACCCGAGTTGTAATAAACCAGAATTATCCTTCCTGTTGTTCTGGTCTCAATCTAAAGTCTTTTAGACCCCCCGTCTCGGTTTTCAAATGGGTTTGATTTAGATGGCCTTAAATGACCCCAACGGTTTTACTTGCTTGACCACACTGATCATGAACATATGGCTTAAGTGTGTGCAAGCATCCTCCAAAATCCTGTGGTTAGGTCTTTCTTGCGGTTGTTGGAAGGCTAATGAAGTTATTTTGACACAGAGCTAACTTGAGGATAAGTAAATAAAGACAAAGTTACTTAGCGTCACCTGTTAACATTTGCCTCATCCTGAGTGTTGGTTTTAGACAACTTATTATAGCTGTCCCCCTGCAGCTCCATCGCAACTGAGCCTTGATTACAGACAATCAGTGAGCTGCAGATGGCTTCAGCACACACAGAGTGATACTGATTGGAGCCCGAAGCTGCAGTCAGATCTCATTTACCTCTCTCTGTCAGCAGACCATTACCTTAGAGTGACACTAGCCTTTCCTTCTCGCCTTTTATCTTGTCTTGTTCTCGACTTGCCTGTATACATACCTACTTTCTATCACTTAGATTCTACTTGCTTGCTATTATTTTTGCCTGTTTCTGTGTTCTTCTTTACCTTCTTTGGTTAAATTCTTGGTCAGTGTTATTCTTTTCCAGTCCTTTCTCAACGTTAAAGTTTGATAGTGTTGACTCTGGCAGCGGAAGCATTATGTCTTCTCCATGGTAGGATGTCCCAACCTCGTTCCTAAAATCAGCCTCCTAGGATGTTCATTAAAATGCCTCCACTGTAATTCAAACTGACACAAATATGCATGAGAGTTTCCGAGGTGAGGTATAATAATAGCTAATAGGAATGATTTGCATAGCTAAAATGTCAAGCTGTGCACCCACCTGTAATGTCCCGTCCAAATCAAACTTTTGTGGAGGAAGTGATGTTGACATAGAAACTTGTGAAACTTAGTTTGAAATATGGAATCTATTCAGCCTTAATGGACTTAGTGTTTCATGTGACACATGCTACAGTCCTTGGGCTCACATGTGAATATAAGCAGAGTTGCAAAATGTGAATCTTTTTATTTTTTGGAAGGCTTTAATGTCTTCCTTTTTTGTTCTTCATATGAAAGTTGAACTTTTCGAATCAACAAAGATTCTGTATGAACTCATCAGTCTTCTCTCTGATGCAGATTGCGGAGCTGGTAGCCACTGAGTTCTTCGAACAGGGGGATAAGGAGAGACGTGAGCTGAACATTGAGCCCAGTGTAAGTGCAGTGTGTAACTTCAGGGGTTAGTTTGTGTGACAAACTTTTCCAAGAAGTACAACATAATTTGTGGTGTGCCTCAGGCATCCGTTTTGGGTTCTTCAGTTTTTAACATTCATGTAAATTAGCTTGGTTGTCATCAAAAGACAAGGCATCTAATTCAAGAGCTATACTGATGATTTAAGATACAATATGTCTGTTTAGAGCTGATACAATTAGTTGAGTAATCGATCCTAATTAAAAATTCATTGGCAATAGTTTTGGTAATTTTTCAAGCAGAAATGCCACTGGTTCTATCTTCTCCAATGTGAGGAGTTGATTTTATTTGTCATACGCAATAGCAAATGAAAGCAGCCCCATCTCAGATCTGGTTTAAATATGAATAGTCTACAAAATAAACTGTTTTCATTTGAAAGCATTTATTTAGTTTACATGTCATTTTTTCTGTCCTTTCACTTTAGGACCTGATGAATCGTGAGAAAAGAGATAAGATTCCCAGCATGCAGGTGTCCTTCATTGATGCCATCTGCATCCAGTTATATGAGGTAATTCAACCAATTAAACTTGCAGTGACTACTGTATCTGTAAACCACTGAACCATGCCAGTGCAATGGTTGGCACTCATCCTAATTTCCCACTTGCTCGAAAGATGCTGTCAGTCTGTCTTAAATTGTGAATAAATGTGTCAAAATGTGAAACAATATGTTGTATTAAAAAACAATGCTCACTGAATTTTCCCTTGTTAAATAAAATGTATTTGTTGCTGTCACAGACCTTGGCTGGCATGTCGGAGTATTGTTCCCCGTTGTTGGAAGGATGTCAGGAAAACCGCAAGATCTGGAAGCGTTTGGCCGAGGAGTGTGAGAAGGGGACTGTCAACGGCTTGGTGTGATCCCAATGCCAGTTTAGTTTTTCAGCCAACACAAATTCCCCCTGCCCAAACAGGTCATAATATTAACATGCTATCTAAAAGGACAAAATAACATGCTTTGCGCACAGAGGTGGCCAAAGAATGTATGGTGTGGCGAAAAAAAAATATGTGGTGAAAAAAACACTTAATTAGGTTTGACAGTGAAAGGCCAGGTTCAGGTCCCAATTTATGCCGTGTTGTTTCTAAGTAAAATCACAGTTACATACAACTTAGGTCTTATTTTGTTATGTTTGTCCATCCTTCTTATCTGTTAAAATAAAGTTGTACTCACCAAGAGTATTACTGAGATTGGGGAATGCAGCAGCAGCACTAAACAAGACCAAGAGCCATGCTAGCAGCCAGGCTTTATTTAGGCACAGCGGTGATTGGAGCTGAATGCTAATTGAGCTGAATGCTAATATAAGCATGCTAAAAGGTTCACAAGGATAATGTTAGCATGCTGATGTGTAGGATATAGTGGTGAGGTACTATAAAATATGTTTCCCATGGTCACCATCTTAGTCTAGCATGTTAGCATGCTAACATTTTACAGGAGAGCTAAAAATTATGGGATGGGTATGTAATTTGTTTTGTGTTTATTAATTAACTAAAGTAGTGCTATAGGAAACTTAAAGGTGGGGTATGAGATTCTAATCCAATACGTCTGTCTGTCACTGTCTGCTAGCTGTGCGCTGAAAATAAATCTGGTGTTTGGACACAGTCCTGGCTCTGTAAGTAGGAAACAAAGAGGCTTGGAGCGCACAACACTACTCCAGCTGTTCCAGCCATGATTTATGTGTCAGTAATGTTAAATGACTTACCCACGGACATTCAGCTGACTTTCTAGTTCACAAAGACATGCTGTTGTTGTGACGTTAGCAGCAGGAGAGTTGTGAGTATTGCTGTGTGGAGGTGGTGTGCAGCTCTGGGCTCTCGTCCTCTCTGCATGTTAGCTTCGCAGCAGCAACTGTAGCCACAGTTTGCCTACCCACAACTAACGTCAGTTACATTACTTGCCGTGTCGTTTCTATATTATGGTATTTGTCATGGTTTTGGATTCCTCCAAAATCGCATACCCCACCTTTAAGGGATTCATCCTCTTGGAACCATCAATGTCTGTACAAAGTTTACTTCATCAATTCATCAAGTGAATGTAGAGATTTTTCAGTCTGGACCAAAGCTGTGGACTGCCTGAAAATTTCCTATGGTGCACATAAGTGGTGCAGTCAGCTAACCTGTTAGCAGACCTGCCGTGTTGTTAGCTAACTTTGAGGCTAACAAAACCCCCGGGCTAATATAGTCTGAAAGAGAAAGCAAAGGTGAACAGTAAAATGATCAGTCAAAATGTGTGTTGTCACAGTTTACCAGACTTACTGTACTTGCTGTAGTTTAGTGCACTGAGTGATTATTATCAACATTTTGAGCTGTGATCACTTTCAGTTTAAAGATTATCTCACTGCACTTTTCATTTAGAGCAGATCTAGACTGTACTCTTTGTAATATTATATTTACAGAGCCCCAAAATTTCCCACCATGAGCAAGCACTTGGTCACAGTGGCAAGGAAAAACTCCCTTTAACAGGTAAAAACTTCAAGCAGAACCTGGACTCAGGCTGGACAGCAAACTGCCTCGACTGGTTAAGAGAGGACTTTGTTGTGGCAATGTTCCCAGATCTCAATAATAACTTCAGTGAGTACACATCTTAACAGATAGAAATGATGGCTAAACTACAGAAATAAGACCGAAGTTGTCATATCTCTAACCGAAAACCTTGAACAAATTGTCTTAATTTAAATGTTAGCTATCTCCCATGAGAAACAGGTGAGAATGACGTGCAATGTTGTGTTAATAACACAGAATCCTTGTTTCAGGTTATGCTCATTTCCCTGAACTTTGTGCGACTTGTCTTCCTGTCACCATTCTTTCATTGCTTTCACTCACCAGAGAAAGTAACAGTCAGCACTAAGCTATATTTATTACCATAGCAATTTTTATTTTTGCACAAGGTCTCTCTCACAGATAGTGAAATTTAGGGGAACACTGAATGGTAAGAAATAGATCCCTGGGGATCAGCACCATTACAGTGGAATACTATATACTTAAGATACTGTCACAATAATCTGATGAGCTTGTTAAATATCTCCATACACAGCACACACACACACAAGGGTTTGAGTCTTTTGTAACATTGTTTTCACTCATTGTCTACTGCATATTTATTTTTGTTTTATATATTTATTAGAGTTTCTATATTGTAATGTCATCCTTTTTTCAAGAGCACACAATTCTATATAAAGAAAACATAGTTTTCATACTTCATCCCATCTCTGCTTTTTTAAAAAGATCTTTCTTAGTAACAACTCTTTCAGACGACATTTGGAAATGTACTGTATTGTGTTATTTGGAATTTTCTTTAGTTTTCAAAATGTAAAAGAGCCAAAGACTAGGCCTGCAATTTCAAATGGGTCTAGATTTTTCCACTGCCTTGTTGTGATAAAATAGGACCAGTTCACAATTAAAACAGACAAAACATTTTAGTTGTCCACATGCTTTCCTCCTGTAAGTGTCTGTTTTTTAACAATTGAATGATTGTGGGCAGCCTGTCTAGACAGTGCTTGGTTGACTTAACACCTTGACGTCACTTGAATTTCAACCAGCAATAGAACATAAGTGAACTTTGCTGAAAACCAAGCAATACGATGGCACAGGGGTGTTGTCCAGATCTGGTACACTCTGTGCTGCCACACATTATTCAAATATGACTTACTGATCAGCAAAAATACATCATGGCGTACATTTATAAAGACCTTTTACCAACCATCAAGTTTGGCTGATGAAACTGATGTAAAAGAAATTAATTCAGCCGGGTTCAATCAGGTTTTACTTTTACTGCAAAGCCCAATTGTGGAATGAAATTTGGTGATAGGCTCTCTGCATATAAAATAGTTCTGAATGTACGGGGGCGGTTACTGTATGCTGACCCAGATTCTTTTAAAAGTTAAAATCACACTCAGTCTCTTGGAGAAGAAACCACTGCTGTCCAGTGGGTAAAATGTTATAGTATGTTACAGTTCTGGTGGCCAAGACAAGCCAATAGCACATATAGCAGTGGTTCCCAACGTGGTGGTCAGGACCCCCCAAGAGGTCCCTAGATAAATCTGAAGGGTCAACACCACCACCCAAATGAGTAAATGGATACAAAACGGTGCAATACGAAGCTTTTTTATTTTTTTTTTTTTACAACTTTTCCCAAATAGTTTATGAAATACAGCCCTCTAAAAAAAAAAAAAAACCTTACAATGAAACTATTGGGAGAAAAGAAATCTCCTTGGTAGAACCGCTTTAACATGTCCACGCTAAGACTGGGTATCATTTCAAATGTTTGATTCTAGAGCCTTTTTTACCTTAAAAGTGACTGCTTGGATTTGACAGTTCAGTTACTGAAGCTTGGTTAAACAGCCAGTCAAGTTACAGCAACCGAAAAGTTTTGACAGACATAAGGTAGCAAGCAATGTCCGCCCGTGTGGTGGGGCGCGGACATTAGATGCACAGGTGCATAACAAAAAACTGAAGGTTTATCGTAATAAAGATTTTGGTGGTTTACTCTTCAGCATTCAACTGCTATCATTCAGATCACTTTAAACCTTTAAAAATTAGTGCTCAGTACATACAGTAATTGATGGATGCCCGATCTTAATTAAGACACTTGTTCTTTGAATAAGTCTCCAGGACTGTAATACATGCGCCTGTTGCATAACTTGTGCTTTTTTTAAAAACTAAATATCTATAACTTCCATACTGCATCAGTCTCTGCGTTGTCTTGTTTGTTTTGTTACATGCAAATGAGAGAGCATTATCCCTATGAGAACATCTGTCTTTAGAAAAGAGACTTGACAAAATAAGGTACCATTATGAAGGTGTCCACAGCTGCAACTGTCAACACCGCTCAACATTGTGAGCCCAGTGAACGGTTTGTCCCATTTGAGAAAAACACCAATTGTCTCTGCATACTGTGTCCACTACAAACCCACGTGAAATCACCTGGAACCAACCAGTGACTTTATGTTGCACTGACACCTTCAGGTCAAAAGCGGTAACAACACAAAAAGAAATCTTTGTGAACGACATTTATTTATGATATTTTATAAAAGTTTCTCATATAAACCACTAACTTCTAAAACAGAGGTTGACAACTTGAGAGAAAGGGGAAACAATAATAAAGAAAAGAGACGGTTCCTAACAGACAAATCACTTCTTATGAGAAATATTTACATCAGTGTAGATCAGGTTGCCAACACCTTCTCAAAAAGAAGTTCAGAAAACAGGCAGGAGAACACAGGTCCTCAGTTTACAGAGTACTGAACAGACGCAGACAGTGAGGTAGGACGGGGCAGTGTAAAATCTACTGTTTTCTATCAGCGGCAGGTGCTATATACAGCTCACGAGGTGGAGGGGGGGACCACGGTTTAGGGATTTAAACTGAATCAGTCCTCTTGTACGCCACCATGCTGTTCACCTTGTGGATGGAGGTGGTGAAGGAGCGTAAACGCACCTCCTCTGATTGGTCGATGATCTGCGGCCCAGACTCTTCCCACTTTTCAGGAACCACCAGGTCTTTGTCTGTGTAGACCAGGAGGTCAAATGCACCTGGAGAGGAGGGGTCAAAGCTCACAGTTTCAGTTCTGCATCATTGACATGTAAATATCAAACATCAGTTAGAAAGTCTGTCTGGTTACTCACAAGGCGTCTCCAGCAGCGGCAGGAAAGTCACTGTGGCTGTGATCTGTCTGATAACAGAGCGGATCTCATCCTGAATGGTCTTAATGGACTTCTCTCGGGGAGCACTGGGTAACACATGAGAACTGAGTTTACATGCATGGTCTAAAGTACCGCGCACACACACACACTGAAGTGGTGTCCAGGGGAGAACTGTGTGGTCATAACGGCCGCCATGAACATGTGTATAGTTAAATGTTACTTGTCAGCTGAGCAAGACAAGACTTGACTTCAGCGCCACATCTGAACAAAGGCAACACTCCCTATTCAAAGGATTGTGCTCAAGTACAGAGAACAATGTTGTGTCGGGATCAGCAGCATAATTGCTTGACACGTTGCCACAGTATGGTGGTGTGGCCATCCTTTGCTTTAACTTCAGTGATGCACAAGTCCAAAATAGGCTTTCATACGACCGCTGATTTAAACTTTTCCTTATTAAAAACCCCCAAAACACATTCAATCAATCAATTTGATTCTGTGGCAACACATTAGCCACTGTGGTACCTTTTGAGTAAATTTTTCTAAATGCTTCTATGCAGTTGCTTATGATTCAGCAGGAAGTATTCTGTATTTTTTTTATTCGTTATTACTTGTGGACTGTAATAATTCATTTTAAATCTTTATTTAAGGTTGCCCTCATAATAACTGGCCAGGTACAACAGATGATAATTAGCTTGTTGAGCTAACTCTGGCTCCTTTACAGTTATTTTACTGTTAATTAATGAGCACTGACCCTGTCAAATAAACTTATTGACTACCCAGTCTGTGGCTCTCAGCTCCAAGCCCAGTGCTTCCTACACAAATAAAGTTTTTCTTAAAATGGCTAAATAATTTACTAAAACAGCTGGGTAGTGTAGTTTTTAGCCAATGTTACTCAAACAGGAGGAAATTGGGTATTTGTTGGGGACTATTTTCAGAGGCGGATGATAAATTCACATTTGGTGCTCTACTGAGTATTTGAGGCAACAGAACACCCTATGTTGGGTTGAGTCAAAATAAACTACAGTACAGTTTAATAGTTTACAGAAGAAGATACACATATAGTCCTTGTTATCAGATCCACTGATTATTGGTTTGGCTCTGCATGTGCGATTTGTTGACAAGTAGAAAAATGTAAATCATCTCTGGACTGCCTGTGGCCCTGGAAGATGAGTCATGACTGCCATCTGCTGGAGTCTGATTGGACTACAACTTAATGAATGCACAAAGAACCAACACAAATTCCAAACAATGTTACAAATTACTGTCATTCATCACCTAATCTCAAGAGTGACGTAGTCTCCAAAACGATCTGAAAGATTAGCGTTTAATAAATGAATGCAGACAGTAGAGGAGCTGACCTGCTCTCCTTGGCTGACTTGTCACACTCGATGTCAAACTGCCATCTCTCCAGCACCTCATTGGTTTCCAAACATGTGATCACCAACACTAGCTTCTGCACGGTGCACTCAAACAGCCACTCTGCAACACAGAACCAACACATTTACTGGCTGACACCGAGCAGGCCCAACAGGCTCAAGATAATACAAACCTTCAGTTAGTACAAAACAGATTTATGAATACAGGCATGTGTTTTTAGCTGTTTGAGTCTGTTCCCTGTTCTTTTCAATACATTTTGCTACATGTGAAATAAGAGCTCACACTGGTGTGCACCTTTCAGTGCGTGCTTTCTCAAACTGTTGAAGCTATATTAAAGTGTACTTTTAATCACAATTTGAATACAAAATATTATATTTTGTGCAATCAGCAGCTTCAGGGCTTAGACAGGTGCAGCTGGAAAGGGTAGGTCATCTGATTTGAAATGTCAGATGAAAGGATAGTTCGAAATTTCAAGTAGAGCGTAAACAAGGAGTTTATAATGTATTGATATTTGGTTAGTCATTAATTCAACTGAGAATGTGTTGCTTTTCCTCATCTTATCTTGCAATAAACTGAAGATCTTTGGGGTTTGGACTGTTGGTGAGACAAAACAAGCTATATGAAGACATCGGCTGATAATTGTGATGGCCATTTCTCTCTATTTTCTGTCACTTTATAGACCAAATAATTAATAGGACAGGTTTTGATCAGATTAATCGATAATAAAAATAATCGTTACCTGACTCAAATCTGACAGAACCCGGGAAAATATCTGAGTTAGGGCCGACATGTTTGGCTGCATACGGCTACATGCTCAGGTTGGTTATTTACAAATGTAATTTAGTGCCCCCTCCTGCCACGTTTACCAAGTCGATATGAAATGTCCAATGGGAACAGTGAGATGGTCAACAGTGTAGCCAATGTGTTGCTTTGCATGAATTCAATAAAGCAATAACATGGCTTCAGGTCTCAAATTTGGCAGTACAGGTCAGTTTGAGGTAATATCCGGCAAAATAACTAATTCCACTAAATTTGTCAGTTGCCTCTTTCAAGGTTAAACAACACAATGAGGCCATAAACAATGGTCTTTCTTACAGGTGTCACGTTTGCCCTAACAAAGCAGTGGGAAGCCTGAATGTGAGGCATTCAAGGTACAAGGAAGCAATCTACCTTTGAGCTGAGACACCACGTTCGTCAGGTAGTTCTTCAGTTTGGGATCAGTGGTAAGTTGAAGGCTCATGTCATAGTGGGTGACTCTGGTGAATGTCTCTGGAGGATAGATGCCCCGCTGGTACAGGATGCTGTTGATGCCAAACGCTGAAGAGAAGTGAAGCGAAAGTGAGTCAGTCAAGCGGCTCACAGTTAAACAGCGTTCAAAGAGGAAAATGCAAGGCTAACAAACAAGTTCCACAACCCATTTAATAACAGAGGTCTAACTAGATGAGAGTAGATAAAATATACATATGTATTTAAAGATATCATGCAACTGTTGTCCATTGTAAGTTGCTGTAAAGTTAGCATGGTTACAGCTGCAGAATGCCTGCTTTTCAATGTAGCATTGGACTTACAGTAAGCTAACAGTACGTTAGCGAACCGCACAAATGCTGCCATGCTTAACGTTAGCTACTAGCAAGGTTGACGTCACAACCACTCGTACCAGACACACCAGACACCACCTAACATAAAAGTATTTCAACTGACAACTGAAGTCTGTCTCCTGTTCTGTTTGTTCCGTTCGACATTTTCACCAGTATTGTAAGTAACGTCCAGTCCGCGGTGGGCGTTGCACTTCACCGTGAACACGTTCTAGCCGCAAAAGTTAAACTTTCAACAAACCGCATTGAGTCTGGTTGGTTGTGTGCTAAAATGTAGCGTACCGGGTAATACATTTCGATCGAACACTTTATTTTCAGACCCTATGACCATGCTGAGCTACACAGGCCCCGCAGCGTTAACGTTAGCACGGTAGCGCTGCATGGCTGCGTGTCGAGGACGTTCAACACGATTTGCTGGGGAAAAAAACTATACCTTTACTCCAAATACTTACAGAAGAACTCGGCCACTAGCTCCGCGCTTCCTTTCAGAGTAATTCCTTTCAATGTGCTCGTCATTTTCTTACACTTCTGGTTGAATTCTCGACAATGAACCTTTGTTGTGTTGGGGTTTTTTTTTTTCAACTACCCGCCGCCCAGTTTGAAATTTCTCAGCTCCGCATTCTTGCGCATGCGTGAAAGATTTCGGCGCACTGTTGATGACGTTTCAAATGAAACCACTGAGAGCAGCGTGAAACTCACTGGCTCATTCAGTGCAAGGATTTCAATTGAGATTATTTTGGTCTGCAACATTACATTTTACACGTTTACTAAATAATAAAAAATATAATATTTATTATTATACTTATTATTATTTTAGTGAACAGGGTAAAACAAATTTATCTCAAAATCTGTCACAAATATAGTGATCACCTGAAAGGGAAAGCACTCAAAGTTATGTAAGATGTGAATTTGTAAGGTTCAAGTCCCAACACCCGCATTTCTTCTTCTACAGTCACTGCTTTAGAGTCATTATCGCTTCATCACTCCTAGTTTGTATTATTCTCCAGAGAGGTGGGTGACAGTTTTTATAGTATTTATAATAAATCATGTTATTTCTGACAATTTGTGGTATTTTTTTTCCTACGACAGAGTACTAGGGCCACATTAAGAAAAAAAAATTGAGGTTGAAGGTTTTTTTTAATTTATTTTGCATTTCGAGAATAAAGTCGGAATGGCATGAATAAAGTCAGCTCCTTTAGTCAATCAAATCTTGTTAGAATGACTGTCCTCCTTGCCAGCTGCCATGTAGGATACCTCATAATCAGCGTTTGCTTTCAGTAAAGAGTACAGTTGCACCTCTTCAGGAACTCACCTCACTCCAAAGATGTAACCCATAGGTCAAAGTCTATGACGTAGCCTACATGGCAGCTGGCAGTCACTCTAATATGATTTGATTGACTAAAGGAGTCAACTTTATTCATTCAAAAGAAGAATTCATTTCAACTCTATTCTCAAAATAGCACTTCAACACTATTCTCATCATGTTTTTCACTTTATTCTCAACATTTTGACGTGCATCTCAACATTAAATGCAAATTGAATAAAAAAATCTTCATCCTCAATTTATTTCCCGTGGCCCCTAATACTTTGTTTCCCTCATCATGAGAATATTTGTCTTAACCTGTTGATGTAAAGCTTTTGGCAGATTTGCAGGAATAAAGTAGTTTTTGACAGCTAGCTAAATGTTGCTAACTTAAAGATACATTAAAAACTAAGCTAACACTCCTGTTTGCTATGTAGGCTATTTATTTAATTTGTGTAGGGGTTGCAGAGAGCAAATCTGTATCATCCCAGTCCCTGCATGTTATGAGCTCACATTTTTCTGTGTTATCACAAGCCCCTTGCATTAGAGTGACTAAACTATTCTTCTGTGGGAGATGAGCTGAAGTTATTTAAGAGCTATCTTGGTCTTTATTTCTAACCAACACAACACAGAATCCACCAGTTAAATAAAGCACAAGAGGAGCCAAATAAGCTGTGAGTTAGAATGAATAAAGGTTGGTAGAACAGTTCCCAGCATCTGCTGGGATACTGCCATCTTCCACTGCAAAACAAAGCATTCACATACAGTATATTAACAAATTGGTAATATGCTCACCAGAGGTTACAAATAAGTGATTAGTACTTTGGAAGTCAGCAAAATGCATGTGTGACTAAGAGCAATAAATTTGATAATTAGTGGCAGTAGCAGACTTGGGCTGTTTGAGAGGGAGGAGTAAAAAAATTAAAAGGGCACCAGCATGTGACTGTATCATGTGGGTGCACGTTTGTGAGATTTGTCTCACAAACGTGCACCCACACGTGCACTGAGGCTTTTTATATCATTATTGCTGTATTGACTCAATATTATTTTGGCTGTGTGGTGCGCCTTAACTTATATGGCCTTCAAAACGTTCACATGAAATACAAACATTTTAAAATGTACAATATACTTTCCAGTCCACTCCCCACTCAGGATGAGAATGCAGTGGTACTGTATCTTCAAGACAAAATCACAATCACACAGAAATTATCTTTAATGGCACACTGGCTGACTTATGTTCACTATTAGAATTATGTTTGATTCTGTTTGGACGGATCAACGCCATGATGTTGTCTGAATGGTGCAAATTTGCAGCACCACATATCAGCATTTCAGCAGGCAAAGGCAGATGAGTTTTTATTTACAGTAGAGTTTATAATTGTGGATGTATTCAAACACAATTATTGTGTATGTCCCCCTTTTACCACTAAGACAGCCCTGACTCATTGAGGCATGGACTCCACTAGACCTCTGAAAGTGCGCTACTGTGGTATCTGGCACCAAGACGTTAGCAGCAGATCCTTTAAGTCCTGTAAGTTGCGAGGTGGGGCCTCCGTGGATTGGACTTGTTTGTCAGGCACATCCCACAGATGTTGGATTGTACTGAGATGTGGGGAATTTGGAGGTCAAGTCAACTCGCTGTTGTGTTCGTAAACCATTTTTGCTTTATGGCAAATTCCATCCATTCCATCCTTGGACCACTTCAGATGCTCTGACCCAGTCGTCTAGCCATCCCAATTCGGCCCTTGTCAAAGTCTAAAGGTATTGCTTTAAATACAAAATAGGAAAATTTTACATAGGGAACATGCCCCATCTTTCCTCATGCTGGCATTAGATGTTGCACCTGCAGATATTTTAAAGCTCAGTCTATCTTATCCCTCACTTCTTCCTGCCAGCTGAGAGAACTGATGAGTGTATTAACCTATAGCAGTGAAGTCATGATACAAGACATGTTTCATGGTCTGCTTCTGCTCATTGACAGGTACTTTTCCCTACCACAGGCATGTTGACATTCATTTCTCCAAAAGCCCCATGAATACTGAAACACTGAAGCCCCCGTCATGGGAATACAGAAGGCACAGAACAAACGTTTTTTCTGCATAAGCAATCCAATCAACTTCCATGTCTCTGTTGCATCAGCTGAGGTTACCTGAGGCCTATTAGAACATACGTCCCATTAATACATACATGGATCCACGAATGGTAATGCCATTTTCCAAGGGGATTCATTGGCCAGTAGGCGGTACTTTCATAGCTTTGATCTCTTATCTTGAACATAAAAGGTGTGCAGCATAAGTTACCATGGCGATTTACCCCAGTAAGAAGTGAATTACTATCATAGGACTGAAAACCCAGGGTTAAACCTGAAGTACGGGCCTCGTTATTGTGACAACAAAAAGAAACTTAAAGTATACTCAATCCTTTCATCACATGACTAGAGGTGCTGGGTAACCCTTTCTAGTTCCACAAACACAAATCCAATAGACATGATGCTAAGGGTACAAAAAAATCTGACTCTTTAAAACTGGAGTCTTACTTGCTTTGTGGCTATGACAATGACAGCATTTTAATGACTTGCTTCAATCTGCTGTGGTGGGTAAATTTTGATTCTTAAAATAGATATAAGTTGGAATATAAGTGCTAAATTTAAATATCATTGGCCTGTGTACTTTGGCCTGTGTGCTTTGAATTATACATGCTTGGATTGTAGTTCTTGGCCACACATACAGCCAATACATTTAAAGATGTGCGAACAGTGTTTTACAGAATTTGCAGAAAGTAATCCCCCAAGCAGTGTTGGTTGGTTTGTGGTAATTTTTAACTTCAGCCAAGCCTCCAGTTTAGAGAGCCAAATGTTGCAACACTTACTCCAATCCCAGTGTGAAACCTAACTGGTGTCATTTTAACAAGTCTCTGCTGGTCTAAACTAACAGCTCTATGGTTTAAAAAACGAAAGACCTCAGCACCACAATCATGTTTCAAAACAGAGACTGTGGGCACTGGCATCAAGCCCTCTCACAGAAAAGCCTTGTGCTTTTTTATTTTGGTAAGCATTTTTTAATTCAGGAAACAAACCTGAAGTCTAGCTATTCAGCTGCAGACAGCCCAAACTTCATGGTCACACTTTATAATAACACAGTGAGTAGTTATTAGGGAACAAGTGAGGAACGAAAACCAAATAGCTGCTAGTGATCAATTAGTTAATGATTTACTACTGTCATACCTTATTAACTCCAGATTCGCCAGTGAACAGCACAAAACTAGTAGCGGCTCATTCATTACTAAAGACTTAAACATTAGTTACTGTTTATGTCTACCCCAAGGAAAGTGACACAGAGTCCCTCCCCTTCCAGTCGACCACATTTGATTTTCGTCAATTCAAAATATCATTTAGTATTTAGTATTTAGTATAAATATGTAATCACAAAGACCACAAACCCAAAAGTTGCATATGTGACGTCATAACTTGTTCTCTCAATGACTGAAGCTGACAAACTTACATGTGCAGATGATGTGATGAAGAGACCAAGAGTTACTGGATTAAACAAATCAGGTGAAATGCATTTGTGCGTTGAACATAGCTAAGTTTCCTAGCTAGTAGTAAGCAATGACAATCAGCTAGCATGACAGCATTAACATGTTGGTGGTGTATGTAGTTGGAGACCAGAGATGTAGTTCATTTAGTGGTTCTGCACAAAATTAAATGTAACTGTTTTAAATGTAACTGTTTTATGACAAACTTTCTTGACTTGCAAACTTATATTTTAAAATGACATTGGATGTGTAATTCAGTGCTCAATTGAAACAAAATCAAAAAAATTTTTGTCTCTTGTCATACAGTCATACGGAATCCCCCTGCCAATAGCTCTGCATTCAGCGAAGATGATATTCTGAACTTCTTTACAAACAAGATTGACTCAATTAGAGTTAAAATCACTGGCCCACACACCTCTCATGATAGATTTGACTTAATGTCATTGTTGCTGCTTCTTGACTTGAGTGGAGTCTACTTCTAAGCCACTTAGAGAAGTATATTTAAGCAATAGCTCACGACAGGCCGTGGTATACGCTCATTAAATCACAGTTAAGGGGTGTTGTTCGGATGGATGCGAAGCCGAGGTAGTCTACAAAGCGCATGACGGTTGCTAAGCACCACTTGATGCAATACATCAAAAGCTAGAATTATTATAACTATTTATTTATATCTATTTGCACGTTGCCGTTTGTTGTGCAGCTACTAAAAAACTGTCCAGCGTCAGGAGATTGACTTTGGTAACTTGAACTTATACACTCTTGAACAAAATCT